TATCATATTTTTTTTTTACTTCGAGTACTTGTTTTGTACCATAGGAGCTGCTGAGGCATACAAGGTATGGAAAAATCACGTTGTGGCTTGAAGTAATACCAAGGGATTTGCTTTGGTTAAAGTCTGTTCCTTTCCACACCAAATATGATTAACTCATTGTTACAAATTTATGCAGCGAAGTTTTTCAAGGAAATTACAAGCTGAACACTTCACTTCTGTCTCTTCTGCAATTTTTCTCCCATGCAATGTGTTCTTCCAGGCCTGAATGTGCAAACCAACGAGGAGGTAGCAGTTAAATTAGAATGCATCAAATCAAAACATCCGCAACTTCACATAGAAGGCCGTTTATACCGTGTGATGTCTGGTGGTGTGGGAATCCCAGATGTAAGTTTCTCCTCCAACATTGTTAGTTTTTGCAATTCTATTGTTACACGCATATCATCAGAGCATATGCACGATAGTAAAAATCACATTGTTAGGCGAATGATCTTTTGTCTTTACTCCCGGCATATCACCAAATAAAATGGATATCAATCTGAAGGTTAACCTCATTTTGGTACTATCTTATACATTGATGAAGAAAACATCTTTGTTTTCTAAAACAACTAAAATGATGAAAACTTGTCAAACTTGGAAGTTGTTACCACAAAATAGCGGAGAAACTTTCGTAAATACTCAGTATTTTCTTAAAAAATTCAAGCTTGTCAAACTGAACCTTATCAAATCATTGCTTGTAGCTTTCTAAAATTCACTGCAATGATGTAACAATTTCAATGCTTCCACCAACCCTTCAAATGCTTAATTTCGTGATTTGGAAGTGGAGAACTTGAGGTGAAGTTTGTGGCATTATACGCCTCAGAAAGATTTAGATATATAATCAACGAAAATCAGAAGGAAATTTCCTAAGATGGGTATCAACTTATCTGCTTGACCAAATTTGTTAAGTGTTGTCGGTAATAGGACAGGAGTGAATTACTGCTCTTTCCGTAGAATCGCTAATAAATCTATCATGATTTAGTATCTGCTCTTTGAGCAATTTTAATCAATTTCAGGTGAAATGGTGTGGCCTCGAAGGCGAGTATAATGTTATGGTCATGGAACTGCTTGGTCCTTCTTTAGAGGATTTGTTTAACTTCTGTCAGAGGAAGTTTTCATTGAAGACAGTTCTTCTTCTTGCCGACCAAATGGTTTGTTTTGAACCATATTTGCTACTTGATTAATAATCTGTCATCTTTTTAGATTACTCGAATAGAATATATTCACGAGCGGGACTACATTCATCGTGATATCAAACCAGACAATTTTCTTATGGGTCTTGGAAAGCGGGGAAATTTAGTATATGTGGGTGTTTTCTCCATATCAGATTATGTCATTACTGTGAAGATTAGCCGAACGCGATTGCTCTGTGTGAGAGTAAGAAGAGCCTTAATAAGTAGGGCCTGTTGTTGAACCAGCGCTAATCTTCGTCAGCTATGGAGGGCGTTCATTGTTATGGCTGAGACATTTTGGTTCATTGGCTATTTCGCTGTGTGTATCGATGCTGTAGGATAACAATTAAGCTTCCAGATAATTGATTTCGGGTTGGCTAAGAAGTACCGTGATTCACGATCTCAGCACATTCCATACAGAGAGAACAAGAATCTCACTGGCACGGCACGCTATGCAAGTGTTAACACTCATCGTGGTATAGGTGAGCACTATAGCGCATCTTCTAAATCTATAACTGCCAGATTTTATGTTGTTTTGGATTACATCTCAAATATTTTTTGTTTTTTGTTTTCATTACAATTTCCAATGGCATATCTCTGTTAAGAACAATCCCGGCGTGATGACATCGAGTCATTAGGATACGTCTTGATGTACTTTAACCGTGGAACCCTCCCTTGGCAAGGCTTGAAAGCGGCAACGAAACGGCAAAAGTATGACAAAATCTCTGAGAAAAAGATCTCCACATCTGTGGAAGAGCTATGCGCATCCTATCCTGGTAATTATTATGTCATTTTTCATATTCCATGTTTGTTGATGAATTGGGCGTCCCTCCTATTTTTTTCAAAGATTACTTTCTAGAAGCTTTCGCCACTTACTTACGATATAGCCGCACGCTTGGATTCGAAGACACTCCTGATTACGGACATCTTCGGCAACTTTTTCGAAACCTCTTTCACCGGCAGGGACTCCGCTACGACTACCTCTTTGACTGGAATCTACTGAAGTTTGTCGTAAGAATCTGTGACAGAGTTGCAGGACGAAAAACTAAACATTGATTAGGTTTCGTACACTAGCCACATTGAAGAAATTTTGAATGCGTTGTTTTTCGTTCATAAGTATCGTAAAATTCGTGATGTTGCATCGTTATTTGTTTTTTATTTCTAATCAGATGGCTTCAGAACGGCGAAACGCCTTCAACAATCGGCAGCACCTCCAATGGGAAGGACGGAATGAAGAAGACTTACGCAGTGTTGCGATCGTAAGTAGTATTTTTTTCTACGGGTTCTTCTGCTTTTGGTTTAAAGTTCCCGGTTTTATGCGTATGTGAAGCATACGTATTAGCGGAATATGGGTCTATTGTCTGCGTTGTACCTGTTGTATTGTCATCGCCATTGACTTCTTACATATTCACTGCTCTTTGCAGGACCCATGCATTGATGCAGAATTGTCGAGCACCTAACTCGGCGGTCGATGGAGGTGCAATAAAGTGAATGTTGCCTGACTTATTGGTTTCCTCTTTTTTGACATGTAGGTAAAACATACCACTTAATTTTTTTTGTCATAGGCGTTATAGTGAACCTCTTTTGTGCTATTTTACCATGTATTTTGTGCTTTTTTTCAATTGAATCAATGAACAGACTTTGCGTCTTATTTGTTCATTAGTTTCTCTAAGCAAGTGATCTAATTAAGAGCTGCTCTGATAATCTTTTTGCTAAACATGTCTTAACTATATTGCCAGACATTGTGGGCAGGTTTCATAACTTCAAGTAATTATATTCTGTTTTTATTGAGAGCTTTCCTCATCATCAGCTTCTTTCTGTGCTACTAAAACAATTGCTCCGTTTGCTTTTCCTTGATGACTATGCGGGTGACCATTAATCATACTTCTGTGTTCGCCGTTTAGCCACCATCTCTCACTTGATATTCTTTTATTATGAAATTTCTGTGAATTGCGATTTACCTTTTAATATTTTTTGGCTGTTTCCAAAATTAGCATCTATCCTTCAGCCCACTAGGTGTCATGGTTTAGGAATTTATTGTGATTTGAGCTGTTTTTTTTTCAAGTCGGACGCCTCTGATTTTTCATTGAGATGTTTATAAAAGAATGTTGGGCATAAATCTCAGTCTTTAATTATTCTTCAACCGGTCTATCATTCGCTTATAGTTTTTGGCAAAAAAGGGAATACTAATAGATTTAGACTTTTCTATCGCAGTGGTACAATTACCTTTCGCAATAATTTTTTTTGTACAAAGAAATAAGCAAGACTACTAAGCTGGAGGTTAATATCATTGCATATATGTGGCCTTTGTCATCGTATCGTACGAACACAATCGAAACAAAACTCACAGTTGGTAATTGCAGTTTCTATGATCTAATTCAAATCTAGAACGAAAGGGGCTGAGTGTTAAGCATAGAGTCTTGCATCTTCATCTCGATTTTTGCAACTCTGGTTTCCTAATGGTTTGCTCCCATCAAGCAAAATGCTTAAGTTTACTGTGAAGGGCTTCATGAATGCTTATGATGTTGGAGGATTTTGACTTGATTGTAAAGAAAAGGACATAGGAATTATTTTGAAGTGATGGGATATAGCGATAAGATTTGTTTACTAACATAATTTGGGATGAAATGTGAACAGAACCTAAAAGTCAAATTTTCCTGTGGAATCTTTTCTGTTTGGACGTAAAGATCCGCAAAGCTTAAGCTCAAGATACTCAACCAAAGCTATTACTTATTACTAACAAACTGCTATTTCATAGCATTCTTGATGCTACAGTGATTGTTAGGACGAAATATACGCAACTATAATAAATTTGTTAGGATCTGACCTAATAATGAGTGTACAAGTGCTATTTGGTGCATGTTCTTTCACATAATCATCTTCATAATTTTTCCAGTCTTTTCGTATTTTCACTCTATTTTCTATTTAACCTTTCGTTAAAAGGACTTCGTTTTCCCCTCAAAATTTTCTTAGGTAATAGACAAGGTCAATCTCCTTGATTTCTTGGTATCATCTTATAACATCGTGCAGTTACGTAAACAAGGTTAAGAAGCGGAAGCTTGATTTATTAGCAGATCAAGGGAAACATTTTCTTGTTACTAGAAGACAATATTAGGATCAATTCATTGAATAGTTGAATCCAATAAGCTGAATATGGGAAGTGTATTGATGGTTATAGGTTGGGAACATAATTCATCCAGTAATGTCTATAGTAATACGGTAATGGGAAACCCTCGCACTATCGGACTTGGATTCAATAAAAACAAGAGCAATCAGATTTAGTTATACGGTCACATGAAAAAAAGTTCATTTCTTGGAACAATAACGTGCAGTGAAGCCTGTACCACGGCTCTGACGCTAGCGAGACGGATTATCCATCTACGTACATCAAATGCCTTGAAAGTTCTGAAGATTTTATGAATCACGTGAAGATTGGAAGTCTATGCAAATTGTAATTTATAAGGTAGTTAGGAAGAATAACGATGTTAAATCATTCTGGCGAAGAACTATGGCAATTATCGTCAAAAGCTGAGACTTCTGTTCTATTTGGTTTGTTTGAAGTGAATCATTCTTATTGTGAATGCTATCCCATTTATAAAAGCAAAAATTTTTATATATCTGTTCTATACAGCTATGTAGCAAGAGTAAGCATATGTCATTAAATACAATATTCACTTGTACTTTTGGAAAAATGCTATGAGCTTTGGAACGGTTATCGAATGTCAGAAATAAGCATAGAAGGCGGAAAGAAGCTTATTTAGTATAGTAAACAGCTTCAGCATTAACCAGGTCTCGAAATTCATTGATCGATTTTTTTTGTTCAGTGTAAGGGAAAGGTAAATAGATTGTGTACTGCTGCTACATTTTATTCCTACTACTTTACTATCGACTTCAGCAGGATATAAGAGTTGCTTTAAAAAAAAATTAATCATTTTTATTGTCCTATTTCTTCTGAGATGTGGTGCTAATGAGGCTTCTTGAGCTTTATTATTACTCGATTTCTTCGAAGAAACATATTCCAAGTCCAACATTCAGGAAACGTTCGTAGTCACGCAAACTATTGCTTGTAAGACTTAGAAAACATTTCCAGATGATTTCAAAAATGTCAACGATATTGATTGCTCCAATC